AGTTTTAGATAAAATGCAAAAGGAATTAAAAAAAAAATCAAGTGTGGACATTAAAGACAGTTAAAGTCATCGTCTTCCACTGAACCGGAAAACCTCCAAAGGTTCAGATACCTGAACCAACTCAAAGCAGAGGCTCAACTTTGACCTCATCCAGAAATTACAGGGCTCCTCAGCCTATTGCTAAGAGTCGAGTCCAGCCACCCTCCAGAAGATGCACCTTCAGTAGCTTGCATCTGGGATCTTGTTCTTTCAGTCACAATCCATATTTAGATTAGCTTATTATTTTGTTACTTATAGTTTTTGTAATGCAATACCTTCATAAACCATGCCGGGTTTCGTCCATATTTTTTGTAACAAGAAAAACAAACTGAAAAAAAGCAAAAACACCTTACAGAACTAATACACCATTGCCTGATGTCAGATACACACCTGACATCAGCTGCAGTCAATTTAATGAACCCAAAGTTACATTTAAATGTCGTCAATGAATTTTTCTTACATTCCCTCATTTGCTTCCTTTACCGAAAGCCATAGTTTGGAGAGAGTTTACAAAAGATCTCTTTGTCTGAATGTGTCAAACAGAAGAGAGGTACAAAAAAAGAAATTCACCTCATTATATATAAATATAGACACCATGATACTGTGAACACTGCCATCTGTAATTGGAGACAAAACTAACCTAGAAGAAGGAATTTGTAGCAAAATTGCTGCGAGGACAAGACAGAAACTGATAAGGGCTCCTGCAAAAGGGCGACAGCAGCGCTATAGAAACGGCGAGATTATCTCAAGTTCTGCTTGTGTTCGACAACAATCTCCTCTACGCTCCATATGCATGAACCAGAAGCCTTTCTTCTCAATAAACCAAACTTTAACGTTTGGGAGAAAACTACGACTCCATGTCACCAAAACAACACCAGGCTCAAAGTGAAACATGTGGGGCTAATTGTCTCAGCTGGAACAGATGTTTTTATAAATGGTTTGAAAATAACAACGTGGCTTTTACCCAAAACATTTAGGTATCTGCTGGAAAGATGGAGATTGAGAGAGATTTTGTCCAAGCATGCATTCAAATGAACAAAAAATTCATTTATATGGAGGAATTTCAGAAATAAATCTAACCCAAACAATCTAAATGACAAGATACTTCAACAGTAAAACTAGATTTTTTTTTTATGTGACACATTTCTCAAACAGATCAAATAGCTTCAGTTAAACAAAAGATGAAATAAAAAATGGAAACATTTTTGAAATTCTCTCTTTTTCTGAGACTGAAAGCAGCAATATCATTGGTCAACTCAGAGGTGGAGGAGATTACATCGTCTACCCACTAAAGTAAATTTGAAGGAAATATTAGTTAAAACAGTAAAAGACTTCCTTTGGCTCAAATAATTACAACACACAATTCACTATTTTCCTGAAAACAGTAAAAATATGTTGGCTGCAGCCCAGTGGTCCACGCATAATTAAGCAATACTCTAATTTTAATTTGAGTTATAAAGCTCAATAAAGAATTTATTAGTCATAAAGTTGCAGGGTGTATTAATTTTATACCTCGTTTCTTTATAGTTTATATTTCAAACCAAAAGACCTTTTTGAATTTGGTGACCAGAAACACATAGCAGCTTTTTTATTCTGCAAAATTTTCATTTTTAGCACAATTTGTCAAGAATAACACAAATATATTTAGCAAATCAAATTACTGATAAGTAAGCATCAATATATTTCAAATATTTATCTAGTATTTCTGATGGTTTTCTGGCTTATAACGTCTTAAAAGCAAAAATGTTCCTTCTTAAAAAAGCAGAAATACCAAAACTAAAGATGTTGTACTGTCTCACAAGGACAGTAAATCATAAAATGCCACAGGCGAAATGGCTATTTTCTGAGTGCTGTAGTAAACATTATGTTGGACAAATCGCATGGATGAAAAAGGTGCGGTAAGCAGCAGGGATAACTGCAGAATTAAGAGAATTGTGAAGCAAAGCTCAAGAGTTTGGGGAAATTGTGCCGCCAGACACAGGTGTATCCAGATAAACGGTTAAAACAACCGGGGCTGTTTTAAACAGTTATTTTAGTCATCTATCGTTTATTCTGACGATTGAGGAATTGAATAAAATAGATAAACTATTGGTAAATGCTGCCATAACAGTTGCCTTATCAGAAGCCCAAATTTTTATATTTGTGCATCCCTAAAAATCACATTTCTGTTATTTAGAAAATGAACCTCTAACATTAATAGTTCACCTTTATAAAAAAAATATATGAAATTCTGCTCAACGTAATAAAGCAGGAGGCTCAGTACGATGCAGTTTTAGATTATGTATTCATGTTGCATCAATTTAATAGACAAGCTCTCACTTTGTCCTGCCATTTATAGCTCTTATCTCCACATTAACAGAATTTGGCTCCTTCGTCTCAATGAAAAAACACATCTGCCAGCCATGTACCGCCACCCATTTGTTGTGACCAGCATGGAGGTAAATTTATGTTTAAATTAGTCTGTAATGCTAAGCTCATCTCAGCTGTTACAGCCAGCTGTGTTCTGCGAGTCTCTGCTCCACATATCTACATTCACCTCCACATTCGAACCAGCCACCAGGCAGCATCTCCAGGAGAAAGCTCGTCATACTCCATGCATCGCGTCAGTAATTTTAGATTATTGGTTCCCCGAAGAGCAATAAAACCCCAGATATTTCCATCTGACCATGAAATCTTCCCGAATGCCCCGACCAAACTCGAATGTTATGCTGCTAGCCCTTAGCAGCACTGAGATCGAAGTGCAACACAAATAATCACCCGGCCCGTGTGGTTCTTCTTCTTGATTCTTATACACAGGTGGGGGAAAAAATCCAAGTAGAGTTACAGCCACCTACTGTTATGGAGTGTTGGCTGTTTCTTATATAGCATCACATTTACCAGTATTATCCTTTTGTATTTTAAAAAGTGTTTAAGTCCTTTATGTGCAAATTTCAGTCCTGCCATTACTCCTTCTACCATCTTTTGAATTTTATAGATCTTCCTTTTCTCTCTTTTATAAACACAGTGTGGTTCATGAAGCTTCCAGCCAGATAATTTTCCTTTAAGGATTTTAATAATCAAGATACTCGATTCATCCAAGGAATCGTTACAGCCCCAGTTGCATCTACTTGAGTTAATCTTTAGTTGAAAGCCACAATTATCAAAAGTTTATCAATATATCAAAAATGTCTCTGTAGTATAAGACTTTATTTGAATTTGTGAAATATGATGCACCAGTAACGTGGCTTGAAATTGTAAGACGCATAAAACTGCCTATGTAAGACATAAGATATGTAAGGGAGAAAACATAAAGAGCATCAGAGGGTGCTTTTTATGCCAACAGAGTCCAATAAGTGTATACCTCAGCTCATTAGGCACCTACTTACCATGAAAAGGCCACTGTGACCACAAAACAATCCACCACCCACACTGTGCCTACAGTAATTGTCTCACCTCTCTGGCTAAAACCACCTACCTTCTTGTTTTGCCACGCCAACAAATACAAACTCCAGCAAACACACACACACACTGGGGGATGCAAATGGCATTCTGTTTAATCAAAATAAAGCTGCCCTTCCACACATTTACATGCCTCATAATAGGTGAGACTAGGCACCGGGCCCGTTGTTACACGCACCATTAAAACACAGCAGTGGACTAATCTAGCACTTCCATAAGCAACAGCAGAGGCAGCAGCAGCAGAAGGCAACATGGGAGTGGATGCTGTCAGGGAATGCAGCAGAAAAGAGCAGGAGAGGAAATCAAACTATGCAACGAGCAAATAGTCATTTGGTGAAAACTAGAAAAGGTCAGAGGATTGTACAAGAACTAGGAAACATTGGTGATGTTTGAGCAAAAGGGAGAAACTGATGATACTTGGTCAGGAGTAAATGTGGTTCTATAAGAGGATCATTTGGACTTCAGCACTTTGAGTGGAGAAGGAACAAGGAGTTCATGCTTGAGAAGCAGGCTGAAGAAACAGTTTTTGATATTATAGCATTAGGAGAGCCTCTGAGGCGAAGAGTAATGCTGAGAGAAACAACAGAAGAAACAAGCTGACCCTGTCTGAGGACATAAAGGGTGAGCAGATGTGGAGTGGCGCAAAGAAAAGAAAAAGACAGAAAGAAAGAAATGAGAGGAAGATGAAACACTGGCAGAAAAGTAAAACAAAAAAGTTGCAGCAGGAGATGTTTGTTGGAGACGAAACAGCAGAAACCTTGCTTGGCAGGGAGCAGCAGCAGCACAAAACAACAGCGGCAAGAGAAGCAGAAGCAGCAGGAGCTACAGAACGAGATGCTCTGAAAATAACAGGAGATTAGAGTTGGAGGGGCACGCAACATAAGAGGCAGAAGGTGATGTTTGGAAAGGAGCTGGCGGGGAGATGACGCTTCTGGGAACAGCAGGTGGAGAAAGAGGTGATGCTGGAGAGGGGAAGCAGTGGGGGAGGTAGTAGCATGGGGGCCACCAAGCACCTGTGAGCTATAATTATGATTCACTTTGCTGCTCCAGCAGGCTGTGTGATAGCAGAGCTGTGACGGTGTACTCAGGAGAGAGGAAACATGGGGATGTTTGAAACTAAACAGCACACACCATTATCATAAACTGCATTCACATCACGCATGCAGGAGGACTGCGTGCAACATGACCTGTAAAAATCACACAAATGCACTGAAGAATGTTAAAAGTGGATAGAGGAAATTACAGTTGGCTGCAAATATTGAACATAAAATACTAGATATGTAGTGATAACCAACAAAACGCAATAATCCAATTAGATGGTTGAAAACTTAATGAGAAAAGTCCAACAGTAGTACATCAATATCCCAAAACTATTTCTTTGGAAACGCAACACGAATTTCAACCAATTCCTTAAACCAGCTTAGTCGGCATCTTTTAAGTCCCCAGCTTTAACATCTATTAGCGCGTTAATTAACTCCAGGTTTTACCCCGCATCAGTTCTACATCAACAAATGCCCACCTACCTTCCACTGCGCACACAAGAGTAATCACACATAGAAGCAGCGCAACCCAAGTGGCCAAGATCCCTCCACGCCTGTCCGCTCCCATCATCCGGCCGGCTGAGAATAAAATAGAGAAATCCCAGAGAGACACGCTGTATTCCTCCGGTGAGCAGTCACATCTCAGTCCTCAGCTCGCTGCGCACAGGAACAAGCAGCAGAGTCAGTGGAGACAGAGAGGAGATAAACTGCTGTTGGATCCGTCTCTCCCTCCGCTCAGACAGTTTTCTCCGACACCTTCCTGCCCAATCAGGAGAGAGGATGTCTGCTTGAAAACCAATAACCCAGTCTTTCCCAACCTGACCCGAGCTGCGTGTCCAATGGTCAGGTTCCCCCCACACCGCCCCGGGACCTCGGTGGAAGTGGCTAAACAGCGACACTTAGTGGCGAAACGCAAGTTTTCCAAAAGCGCACAGTGCCTGTCTGGAGTCCTCTTGATTTTAAGATTCATCTCAAATGTTCTGAGTTCATAAGGGGAAAAAACTTTTGAAAATAAAATGGACTTTTGGATTTCAGAAATTTTCGAAATTTTCTAGAAAATTTGAGTTTTTTTTTACTTTGATCATAGCGTTTTCCTTGTTTTTTTCTAGAAAATGTTTGAATCTCATAATTTTTTTGCAGAAAAATTATAATTTGTCTCAAATAAATAGGACTATATAATTTTGTTTTGAATATTTTGCAATTTTAGGAAATAAAATACCTTAAAGCTATGATGGACTTTTGTACTCCAGCCCCATGGTGAATGCAACATTTTGTATTTTCCCCTGCAGTTATAGCTGAACATGTTGAAAAGCCTTTGCAATTCTAGAAACTGACATTTTTGTCCATTCATCTGTAAAATAGCTCATGCTTTTTCAAGTTGCTTTGAGAAAATCTGCAAACAGCAATAATCACGTCTTCTCACACATTCTCATTTGGCTCTGCACTGGACTTTGACAAGACTCTTCAAATCCCTCAGTATCCTTTGAGCAAAGCCATTCCTCTATAGCCTTAAATATAACTACAGATTTCATGTTAGTGAAAAAAAATGTTATGTCATAAACTCTACAAAACATCTGTGGCTTGGTCAGAAATAAGTTACAATACTGCAATACAGAAACACCAAATACTCATGAAAAAACTTTAGATCATAATTCCAGTTTTAATTAAAAAAAAAAAAAAGAACGAAAGATTAGCAAAACTTATCACACACAAAAAAGAATAACAGGGAGCCAGAGCAAAACAAAAGCAGGAATCCAGGGAACTGATGGGGAAATAAACGGAGAAACCAGTAAGGAGCGATTGATAACAAGGAACATGAATTTAACAAATAACTAGACATAATCAGCATAATATTATGTTCATGTTGTAGTTATGCTCTTGTGTGGATCTATCAAGTGAATTTCCAAATTTCATTAAAGTTTATGTTTGTAACCTTTTAAATGTGGAACAGTTCAAAGAGTGTGATACTTCTGCAAGGTTCTGCAGGCAGTGGACAAAACTGGATTGCTATATTTTTATGTGATCAATATTTGCAACATTTATGACAAAACTTTGTCTGGATGATTCTGCAACAGGATGTATTTGAAGTTTGTTATTTCAGTGTTTTGTGTCTTTGTCTCCCAGTTACTGCAGCTTAAAATGAGTCTTTTCAAATGATCAAAATACAAAAATATACAACAAAGAAAAAACATTTTACAAAAATGGAAGAAAATTGCTGTGACTAGAGAAATGATGTCTGCAAAATAAACATAAAAAACTGCAGAAACGTGACTTTCATTGTGTTTTTGTAGAGGCAACATGTCTTAAACATCCATTTCTCTCTGCTTTGTTAATGTTATAATTCAGTGAATATTACTGTCCCTTCTCTGCAAACCCTGGAGGAATATGAGGGATTATTTTTACTGACATTGTGCTTACCTGGGAGGTTCGCAGCTGTTCCGTTCGGTGACTAATCTTCTTTCTCCCTGGAGTTTTGGTCACTACTTTAACTGCTGAACGAAATTGTCTTATTTTCAAAACAATGTCTGCTTCTTGCATATAGAGAAAAGAAAGCCTTACGAGAAACACATTAATGTTTTGCACTCTAATTTATTGCATTTTTAAATTTTAGCAAGTTAAGAGTGGAGACCCAGAGGTTAATTTGCTTTAAAAAAAAACAACAACAACAACAACAACTTGGATGTGTTAAGAGAAAAAGCCATGACTATATTCTTACATGTGACCATGGACTGCAGGGGAGGAAGGGGATTAGGTTAATAACACCTGCACAGGTGTTTTTACTTACGTTTACTTCCTTCCTCCCAGGACCACATTGAGTGACATTTCCCTAAATACCCTCCTAGCACCTTTTAGAAGGGGAACAATTTCTATTATTCTCCCTGGCACAAGCTTATCCTGAACATGGGTCTAATCTGCAGGCGTGGAAACATCGGTGCCACTTCCTGTGCCGCTTCAAACTCCCACCTGATGGAAACAAATGCATTCAGTTTGGAACATGAGACCTTCAGATGAACTTGGGCATGATGTTTTAATACACTGTGGGCTAACCATATTGCTTTAAAAGGTTTTATATGTGGCCACACAGATTACATGTGCATTTGTGGGTGAGTTGTGTTTTTAAAAGCTGTGTGTAAAGGGACTATGTGGTCCTAATGTGTTTGTCAATTAAACTGTAAGAAAACTGTGCAAACACAACAATCCCTATGGTGACGACAGTTGCAGCATGAAGATTATTGTAGAGCAATTCAGTCGTCATGTCTTCGATGTTTGTTGCCTCCCGATTCTTTCACAGTTCACGTGTTTGCTTGTGTTTTCAATAAAAAGCAACCTGTGCCAGTGAGTTCATATCTTTAAAATGTGCTGCTGCAGGAAGTTAAAATGTCCTCACAGCCTCCAATGTTCCCCCAAAAATCAATAAAAGATCTGCTGGCTGCCACATGAGCAGAGCAATAACATTTAAAGTGTCTCCAGCAGCATTAAGGTTGCTCTTTTAAACTGTGCTGCAGGAGTTTCTTAGCTGTTTTAAGGAGTAACTCTGGCCTGCGGGGTTCGGGTCGGCTAAACGCTGCGATGAGAACTGATCGATTCTCTTCACACCAAGAAAAAAATACATCTTCTCAATAACGTCCTTCTGTGTCACTATAAAACACGCGTTTAACTTTCAAGCCCCTCATAATCTGTTCAAACACGTTTCAGATCAGATGGGATTACCACAAATATTTATTTTTTCTTAGAGTTTTCCATAATTTCCCTTTATTTAGCTCTATTCATCATTCTTGCTTCTGCTGAAGTGAAAAATCTTCAGGAGAGACAATTTTGTCTCATTTAATCTGATCATAGATGATTGTTTTTACATTTTTTCCCCCTCAAATTCATTAATTTACATAAATTTTTAATATTCGTATGACAGTACATGTAATATTTTTGTGATCTCCTCAGTCATCTACTTGAACATCTACTTTAGTCTAACTCCTTTACACTGTTTTTTTTTTTGTTACATTAATTATGTTTCTCTGTTTTGAGACTTTGACCATTTTGAAACTGTAAAGAAATATACCTAATATCGGCCATAGCAGTAGTATTGGTTCATACTGGTTGATTCCCATTAAAAGGCTATAAAATTGTTTCTAATTAGCAGCACAATTCAATGGGCTAACATAACTTTCCCTATGAGTGTGAAATAATTAGGATCTTTATGTTGACACATTAAACGGATAAAAACTAAAACAAAACTAAACAGGCCTTAAAGGGCCGGATTTACAAGGATGGGGGCCCCTGGGCTGGAGTCAGTTTTGGTCCCCTGTCCACTGAAGAAAAATAATAATTTTACTAATCCAAATTACAATACAGTAAATTAGAAATTAGAGTAGCTTCATATGTCCTATAGGCAGTTGCTCCATGTTATTCACAGAAAAATAAATACATTTATTTTAGCTTCATAAGTTTCAATACTTGAGAATTGTTTATGTTCTTTAAAAATCAAAAAATATGCATACAGGTCACCTGACATGGACCTACTGGTTTTACAATTGTTGCTAAATGCACATTTGTTAAAGAAAAAAAAAAAAAGGGAAAAAAGTTACAGTCATATATTTACAATTTGTGAAATATTCAAAACAACTCTTACACTTAGTGGCTATTTAACACACTTCGAGCAACATCACAAGATCTTTGCTATGAGTATTTATTTAAATCTTCAGCATTGTAATATTTTTCAGCTGAAAACTAAATATGTCATTCAAAGCAACAAAACTCCTGCCGCCCTTGAGGAGACGCCGCTTTGTGCAGCTGCTCAGCAAACCACTCAAAATCCAAAGCAAAGAGTTTGCTAACAAACTTAGAACAGACCAGCAGTAACGTGCACAAAACAAACCAAAGTGATTTATAATGGACAAACTTCCAAAACAATCCAAAGAATAATCGAGTGACACTCTCATCTGCTACAATCAACCAGAGTTTAATGGATGAAAGGTGTGATTAAATACACTGATGATTAAAAACCCACCTAATACAGAGTCCCACACTGCATAAGTATGTGTGTATTTAACGCTGCTGCTATTTGTTTAAATTAACAAGTCTGTAAAAGGAAAGTAGTGTAGACTTTAAAAGAAGGCATGCCAAGGTAAATAATATCAACAGTCAAATGTAGAAAGAATTTTGCAAAAATTCTGTATATACACAAACCCAGGCAGCTTGAAGAACTGGAAAATCTTTTCTTTTGTTGTGACAAATTGGTTTCATAACAACAAATCATTACAAAACCTCAGTGTACCTGTGTACAGTGATGTGTGCAGTGTATTAAGCTTTGGTTTGATGTACGAGTTAATCAGATGAGTTAAGTACCTCTGAATGCATTCATTAAGAAATCTTCTCCTGCAGCAGACATACAGTAGCTTTTCTTCTTTTGCTTGTTTGTTCAATCGTTACGTTTTCTTTAGTGGTAATTGGAAACAGGATACTTCGAAATCCCTCGCCCTCAATAAGCAATTTTAAGAAAATGTGTGTGCTCTTGCTCATTGGAGGCTTCGATGAGGCCATTCCTTTATTTACAAAGGTAATAAGCCGTTTAAAAACTGGACATTTCATTTCCGGCTTTGACGTAAAAGTAAGGTAAACTGATGCAATCACAAAAACTCAGGCATTTCAAGAGTGCGATGACTTCTCTGCATTGTTTTTGACTGAATGGACCACTTGTCAACATCACAGATAATGTGGATTTCATTGTCAGTAGAGTATTATGTTGTACATTCATGGCTCAGTATGGTGCCAGGTTTTAAGGTAATGTACACA